TTGTAAAGGTTCCTTTTGAAGAACAGTATGGGCTAATGAGAGGTTTTGTAGGATACTTTTTTCTTGTGGGTAACATTCAATCTCTAACGGTTTACACCCTGTCCTTCCACTGAGATCTTACTGCTGTCTGAGACCGCAATGGCTCTCTAGCATAGAGCAGCACCTCTGAACCAGTGTTCAGAGGGAGAAGGTCATTGAGAAACTACTGCTTACCCTAGCCCCACAGGGATTTCTTTCTAAATACTGATAAAATAGCATTAACATTTATTGTGCTTACTCTGTGGCAGGCCTTGTTCTAAGCACTTTCTGTGTTAATTTAATCACGATAAGGAGCATATAAAGGAGATTATTTTACACGAGGAAACTGAGGGCCGGAGAAGTAAAGAAACTTCCCCAAGGCCATACAGCCAGTAAGTGATAGGGCTGACTGTAGTAGGGCAGACTCTAATCCAGCAGACCCCTCCTTGAAGGAGGGAATGGACGTCGGAACTCCAGCTCCTCACCCAGCACTTACTTAACAGAGAGCTTCAGTCTATGACAGTGTTGAGATTAAGACATTCTCATTATATAATAAAGTCTGATGGGAGAGAAATACAAAGGCCAAAACAACAGCATTTAGAAACTGGTGGACCAGGATCATCCCACTCTAATTGTGCCCCCCTGCATCTCATGGTAAGCAGCCTCAGGCCTGGTTGGTACTGCAATGGGAACCTGGTGGACAGGGGTTTTGAAAGCCTTTTGGAGTGTCAGCATGGCCACTCAGAGAAGATGGGAAGTTCGGTTGTAGACCTGACTGAGGGAAGACATCACCACACAGGTGGTGATTACAGAATGTCATTTAGGATTGAGGTGCAAGCTGCAAGGAAAGTGTTGGTGCCAAATCAAAAGCGAAGTGTACTGTAGTGAAAAGGTATCTGGACCTGATCCAGACCTGGATTCTCGTAGACCTGGCTTCTAACATGAGCTTGGCTACAAAGTGTGTTCCCGTGCAACCTAGTTATCCTTTCTAGGCCATTTCTAACAAAGGAATACCCATTTGATGTCATACAATGTTATAATTAGATTTTGATGACGCACTGGGGATTGAACCAAGGGCCTCCAGCATGCCAGGCTCTACCACTGAGCTGCACCCCCAGCCCTAATCGGATGTGGGGTTTGTTTGGTCTTTTTTGAAGCAGGGTCTCCCTGTGGCCCCAGCTGTCCTGGGACTCACTATGTAGACCAGACTGGCCTTGAACTCACAGAGATCCGCCTGCCTCTACCTCCCAAGTGCTAGAACTACAGGTGTGCACCACCACACCCGGTCGAATGTGTTTTTATAAACCCAGTAACAGTAAATTTGTGCAAGTAACTGCATGGCCGGCAGGACAGCTCTGGTGTTGACGCCTGTTACCTTCTTAGCCACCCAGCTGAGATGGCTTAAAGCAGACAGTTGTTTTCCTGCATTCATTCCCCAGCTTAATATCCTGAGAAGATGTTTAAAACTGTGGTATTTATTAAAGTTAAAGTGCCTTCTTTGACTATTCCTGACTCCTAATTCCAGCTGATAATGATTGGTGTAAAATCATCAAGAAACTTATGTCTTTACAGTACAACAGTATGATTTCTTTTGAGTAAAGAGCAGCTTTCGGGGAGGAGCTTGCATGATGGTTCTAACCGAACGCCCAGTGCATGCATTTTCAGACTGCACACTTTCCTTAATCTGGTCTTGACAGGATAGTTTCAATGCAAAGAAACATTTGGCTTTAGGATTACAAGTATTGGCAAAATCTCTGGTACTGTATTAAATGGCATAAGCGCCACCATTGTGGATCTTTCATGGGGCCCAGCAGAATGACTGGGCTGGCTTGTAGGATAATAGGATGGATATGCTTAGGATAAAAGAAACTCTTGTCCAGCTGCTTTTCGTAGAGCCCAAACAATGAAGCCACCTGGTGCCTTGACTCAGATTCAGAATTGATGGTACATCGTGATGTGCTGCTGCTGGAGCTGCATCTGACCGTCCGACACGGGAAGTGCAGAGTACTCTCAGCCTCCCGCTTCTTAAAAAAACATCATTCTCTACTAGACCACCCATGAGGCTGTGGAAATCTTTCATCAAAGTGTATTTTTTTGGCCTTGCTTGTTAAGGTCTATGATCAGATACTATCCAAGAGAAATTTAAGCATTCTTCCACCCCAAACTACACACAAATGGCACAGCATCATTATTTATGACAGCCAAAAAGCAGAAACAATCCAAATGGCCAGCTGGTGAATAGATAGGTAACCTGTGTTGTATATCCACACTGTGGAATACTATACAGTCATTAAAGGAATGAGATACTGACAAATGCCACACGGGCCTTGAAAATCATCATGTTCAATAGCAGACTAACTACAAGAGCCTGTTCTATCCCTCAGTGGTCTCCAAAGAAACAGAATCAGTAGGATTGATGTGAGGGAATTACTTATGGGGGGCAGGCCATACTTTCACCTCAGAAGACCTGTTCCTAAAGGCCGTAAACTAATTGGAGGGCCAGCACTTTTATTTTATGGGTATCAATGTTTGGCCTGCATGTATGTTAAGTGCACCCATGTCATACAATGCCTGCAGGGGTCAGGAGAGGGCGTCAGATCCCCTGGAACTGGAGTTAAGGATGGTTGTTAGCTGCTATGTGAGTGCTGGGAATTGAACCCGGTTCCTCTGAAAGAGCAACTAGTGCTCTTAACCATCTCGCCCCTATTTTTCTTTAAATTTAACTTACTTATTTTATGTATATAAGCATTTCGCCTGTGTGTATATAAGTGTGCCACGTGTATGCAATGCTCACAGAGGCCAGAAGAGGCCCTGGAACTGTTAGCTACCATGTGGGTGCTGGGAACCAAACCCAGGTCTTCTACAAGAGCAGTGAGTTCTCTTAACCACTGAGCCATCTCACCAGCTCAAGCAAGACCCTGTCTTAAACAGTAAGTCAGTAATGTTGAAAAGACAAGACTTCACAGAGGTGGCATGCAGGTGCCCCAAAGCTCTGTAAACACTGCATTCAGCTACACCCCACTGGCACCTTTTCCGTTTGGGGTACCAGTAGTCAGTGAAGGGCAGCTCTTCTGTCAGTCACACCCCAGTTCCTATTTCTTGGAGTCCCGGTGTTCAATAGCTAGGGGCAGGGCATTCAGGAAAGGTTGAAGGGAGAAAGAGAGGTAACATTCCCACATAAAGGCTGGAATTTGTCTAACAAGACCACCCACCAAATAAGACTGCCTGACAAGACCATTTGTCTTAGTTATCACTGTGTTGGAACCATGGGGATGAAGTGTGGGGAGGGGAAAGGAAGGAAGGACCTAAGGGCCCTAGAAAGAACAGTGCAGAGACTGCTTGGCAGCCGATGAGCTCTGGAGACCCCACCCTTCCCAAAGGAGGCTTTCTGCTCCTTGCTCACTACTTTCTGCTTCAATAAATGCCAAGTTTTTGCTTCCTTCATCCCTGGGCCTTCATCTCTGTTCACCTCTGGGAAGAACCTGGGCTCCTGGGCAGCCAGCCCTCAGCTCTGACCCTCCCTCCTGAACCACCAAGCTAGGACAAAGGGTGTCTACAAGAATCACTAAGGTGATGTGGCGCTCGGTGCTGTGGTATATAGATAGTAAGCCAGGCCTGTTTTAAATACTAACACCAATGCATGTTTGCATATACTTATTTGCAGTGCTGGGGAACCATATCCAGGCCCTTGTACATGCTAGGCAAGTGCTCTACCCTTGAGCTACATCTCTAAACTTGTGTGTGCGTGCATGCACGCGCACCTACACAGATTAGAAAATATTTTGGCAACAACAATTCAGTGTTCCTCTTCCAAATATCCTGGTGGGATGGAGGGGAGCTAGTATGTGGGGCTGCCTATGAGGCTGTGTCTTCACAAACTTGAATCAGTTATATTAATGGTGGTATTTCTGGAGGGGAAGCCTACAGTTGAGTGCAAAGATGTGGACAAACTAAAGGATTGGATTGTGTTTGAGCCAGGATGATGGGGGGTGGGGGGCTGCCTTGGGATTCCTGTCAGGAATGGGTCAGTCATCAGCACTGCTGTCATGCAGGATTTTCAGGTTAGATTAGGGCCCTCCTCCTTGCTCCTTGGCTAGCTGCTTGATTGGTAGACGAATTCAGTTGGAATTTGAGCCTGTTTCAAGATACATTGTGTTTGGCAGCCCTGAAGGAAAGCACAGATCCTCTGGCTTTTCTCCAAGGATTTCATACACAGGATGGGAAGGCATTTGGGATTTTTAAATTGCTCACTTTTTTCTCAGAGATTACTGTTCTTTGACTACTAGCACAGACATAGATTGGCTAGTAAGAATGCTGTCGGGCACAGGTTTAAAAAGAACGGTGTCCACCTCACAAAACATAAAATGGGGGATGCTTTAAGAGGCTTATTTTCAGGGCTGGAGTCTAGCTCAGTAGTAGAGTACCTAGCACGAGTGAGGCCCTGGCTTTCTTCCCAGCACTTTAAGGAGAAAAAAGTTCCTCGCCCTTAAATTGATGTGGACCGGTCCTAGATGTAAATCATCCCTGGTTTGAGCATTAGCTCCATTTATCACACTTCTTTAGTTATAGACAGGAAATGGAAATACGTTCTTTTCATGGTTCAAATTATCATTATTCCCATTTTATCCATTTCCCCTATGCAGTTACTTAAAAACTGAAGCCCAAAGAAATGCCATCTGTGCCCAAGTGTATCGCACTTCTGGCAATGTGAAACCTGCCTGAAGAGATCGTGTGGCAAATGTAGTGTGTGGAGCTAAGAGCACAGAGAGCTGAGCCCTGTGTTTAGGTTCTTTTTCTTTCCCTTTCTTCTTCCCCCCTTTCCTCCCTCTCAGCTCCCTTTTTTCTGTCCTTCCTCCTTTTCCACCTTCGTTTTCTGCAGTTCTTGGCATTAAACCAGAGCCTCATACATGCTAGGCAAGCACTGTACCACTGAGCTTTAAAGTTGAATTGCTTATAGCTTTTATTCTGTTTTCATTTTTTAGAAAAGGTATAGTTTGGCAGTGGGGCCTCCCAAGAAAGACCCAAAAGTTAAAGGTGTCCAGTCAGCAGCCGTACAAGCTTTTCTTCGAAGGAAAGAGGAGGAGCTTAGACGAAAAGGTACGTGAGACAGCTTTTTTTCTCGATTTTTTAAAAATTTATTATTATTATTATTTAATTTTATGTGTATGCATGTTGTAGGTAAGTGCACCCATGTCATGCAGTGCCCACAGAGGTCAAAGTCTTTCATCACATCCAGTTAGTACTCAGTGGATATTTGTGAAAACATGGTAGGCTAATAGATTTGGGGACTGCAAGTGTGTATGTATGTCTAGGTTAACATGTTCTGTATGTATATGGGGGGGTTGCTATTTGTATAGTTTTCTTTTTGTCTTCCCCCAGTCTACTCCCCTGGGCTTGTGGAGCTGGGCATAGTGACAAGTGTCTGTCGTCTAGCTCCTCAGCTGCAGAGGCAAGATGATTGTTTGACTCCAGGAGCTTCAGGCCAGCCTGGACACTCTTGGAGGGGAAGGGGCAAAGAAGCCAGGTGTAGCTGACCATAACAAATGTCAGTAAGAGCTCCATTCTTTAACCTTGATCTTGACATTGTTAGGGTGTTCATTCTCTATTATTCAATGGGGGCAGATACCCCCTTAACTTGCTGTAGTTATGAGCCATTTTTTACATTTAAAGGAAAAACCAAGTCTCTTGCTTATTCATATAGAAAAAGGTATATATGACCCACTTGAGTAAAAACAGTTGCTCTGTTCAGATGACTTCCTCATTTGACTCCTCGATCTCTTGAGATTAGAACTTGAGTATTTGTGTTTTGGCCACCTCCTAATTTGGGAGGCGCAATCTGCTGTCTTTCAATGTTACAACATGCCCTTGTTCTGCTCCTTTCAGCCTTAGAAGAGAAGAGGAGGAAAGAGGAACTAGTGAAAAAGCGAATTGAGCTCAAACATGACAAGAAAGCAAGAGCCATGGCCAAGAGGACAAAAGACAATTTCCATGGTTATGACGGGATTCCTGTTGAGGAAAAGTCAAAGAAGAGGCAGGCCATGGAAAGCCACCCCAGCCAGGGAACAGACCAGGAGTACGAGGTGGAAGAGGAGGAGGAATTCTTTGAGTACAACCAAGCAGAGTCAGAACAGGAGGATGAGGAAGAGCAGGAACCTCCCAAAGTTGAAAGCAAACCAAAGGTCTCCCTCAGAAGTGCCCCACCCCCCATGAACTTCACGGATTTACTGAGGCTAGCTGAGAAGAAGCAGTTTGAACCAGTGGAGATCAAGGTCGTGAAAAAAGCCGAAGAGCGGCCTATGACTGCGGAGGAACTTCGGGAGCGAGAATTTCTTGAACGAAAGCATAGGAAAAAGAAACCTGAAACAGATGCAAAACTACCTCCATCTGTGTCCCAAAGGGCACCCGCTCATAAAGAAGGCGTGGGCACAAAACCTAGCAGGCGTCCTGGCGACAAGCGTCCTTCTTTGAAGGGGATGTCCTCTCCTCAGGCTGAGAAGAAATCCGGACCTAGTACAGCCAGTGAGAAACACTTGGCTTTGTCTGCATCCAGATCAGTGCCGGGAGAGAGGACCAAGGCAGGGTCTGTCAGCAGCTCCCAGCCCTCCCTTCGGGAGGGTCACCACAGACCTGTTCTCAATGGGGCTGGAAGGCCTCACCCTAACACCTATTCACCTAGTGTCCCAAAGACTTTTGCTAGTGGGACTCAGAAATCTGCTTCTGAGCACAAAGCCAAAAAGTCTCTTCCTTCTCATCCTAGCCATTCCAAGCCTGGGCCCACCAGTCTCTCACAAAACAAGCCTAAGAGTCCAGGTGTCAAGCAACTGGGCAGCAACTCCAGCTCAGCCCCTGGGCGGCCCAGCCCAGGGACAGCTCGGCCCACACTTAGTTCTGGCACTGTTCCCAGACACCAGAATGGCAGCTCCAGCTCAGGATCTGAGCGATCAGTCAGTGGGGTCAGAAAGCTAGACAGTGTCTCACTTCCCACTGGACGGACAGGCAGTGGCACAAATGGTCCTGGACGCCCTGCAAGTAACTCAAGTGGCCCTGGGAGACCCATCAGTGGCCCAAGTGGTTCTGGGAGACCTGTGGGCAGCTCTGGAGGCCCTGGGAGGCCTATAAGCAGTCCACGTGACCTTCAGCGACCAGTGAGCAGCTCAGGCCCTTCAGCATATCCAGTCAGTGGCCCTGAGAGATCCATAAGTGGCTCAGTTCCAGCTGGACGAACTGTCAGTTCAGGTCTCCGAAGATCAATAAGTAGCTTAGGCCCTGGGCGGACAGTTAATAGTCCCGGCGCCCCCATAAAGCCCAAGTGCACTGTTGTCTCAGAAACAATTTCTTCCAGGAATATTATTAGCCGACCAAGCAATGGACAGATGAATGGAATGAGGCCTCCCCTGTCTGGCTGCAGATATACTCAAGGTAAAATTGACCCTTATTCTAAAGAGTTTGGGGTGCGGGGGCGGTTTTGGGTTGTTTTTTGGTTTTGGGGCTTTTTTTTTTTTTTTTTTTTTTTTGTCTTTTTGAGACAGGGTCCCCCGGTAGCCCCAGCTACCCGGGAACTCACTATGTAGACCAGGTTGGCTTCAAACTCACAGAGATCCACCTGCCTCTGCCTCCCAAGTGCTGGGACTAAAGGCGAGCACCACCACGCCCAGCTTCTAAAAAGTATATTTTTATCACTAGGCAATTTGAAAAGGTACTTAGCTTACAGAAACATTGTAGCCACTTCCACCTTTAATATTATTCCACCTTTAATATTCTCATGCTGGTAGTAGAAAGAGGCTTATCTAGGGTCTGCTATAGTCTCTCTCTCTCTCTCTCTCTCTCTCTCTCTCTCTCACACACACACACACACACACACACACACACACACACACATATCCTCACACATACAGTAAACTTGGCTTTGTGATTTGTGACCTAAGGTGATTGTATACATGCCTTCAATGGCTACATTAGTGTTTTACATGTAGAGACTTGTCTTAAAGGTGAGGGTGTCACTATAAGCTTGAAGCCTTCACCACTCTTCATTCAGCAGACTGTCAGACATTACTTACGTACCAGGAGCTATTTAGACTACCCTGTGGTTTGCTCCTTCTAGTGGAAAGTATCAGATCCTTGTCACTGGTGATTTGGGGATCTATCTCAAAGTTCTGTTTATAGATGACATCTGCCAGATGTCTGATCCTAGTCACTGCACACCACGTAGGCATTTGTTAAAAGTGTTTGCTAGGAACCTGCAGAACATGGAAAGACGCTAGCGATGAGAATCCTTGCTTTAAATTTCAAAGACTAGAAGGTGGTTATTCTATTCGACTAGAAGGTCGATCAAGGCCTGTCTTTTGCAGAGTTCTTTTTAGTTTTGTTTGGGGTTTTTCTTTTGTGGAGTGGGTGGTGGTGTGGTGATGGTGGTGTTTTTTGAGACAAGGTTTCATGTAGCCCAAAGTCGGCCTGGAACTTGCTGTACAGCTGAAGGTGACCTTTACTGTCTGCTCCTCATGCCTCTGCCTCATGAGTGCTAAGATTGCAAGTGTACACCACTCTGGTCTTCTGCAGTGCTGGAATGGAAACCTAGGACTTGATACAAGCTAGACAAGCACTCTAGTCACTGAGCTACTTCCACAGCTCATTTCTGCAGTTTTTAATCAGTCATTTGGCAAATCATCAAAAATAGGATAATAGAATCCAGGTGTGGTGGTATACACCTTTAATCCCAGCTCTAGGGAGGCAAAGGCAGGCAGATCTCTGAGTTATTCAGAATAAAATGTAGCACTCAGAAGCAGAAGCATAATTCTGAGACTCTTACATTTGGAATTCCTCTGTTTGAGGGTTTTGTTGTTTTTTAGATTGAGTCTTGCTATGTTGACTAGGCCTTTTTCAAGCTCCTTTCTCAGCCTCCCAAGCCCAAATAGTTGAAATTGCCAGCATGTGAAAGACTTTGAATTTTTAGATGAAATTATGTCTTTGTATTTATTTTATGTATATGAGTATTTTGACTGCATATTTGTATGTTTATATACATATATGCCTACCTGGTGCCCATGGAGGCCAGAAGAGGGATTGGAGCCCCTGGAACTGGAGTTAAGAGTGGATTGTGAGCCACCTTGTGGGTGCTGGGAACCCAGGCCCTATGCAAGAGTAGTGAACCCAGGGCCAGTAGCCAGTGCTCTTTACCACAGAGTCATCTCTCCAGCACCACTTTGGTATCTTGTCTTAGGTAGAATTTAAAGTTAATGGTTCTGTGGCAGTTTGTATCTTCAGTTTTAGAAAAGTTACTGATCTTTTAAATCCCGGAAGTATGAGTAACTGCTAAGCTAGAAAATGTGACAGGACAGACCAAGTCAGCTTAGATAAGCAAGAGCTCTGCTCCCTTTTGGATCCCACACCCAGCAGCGATAGCATGGCAAGGCTAAAATGTTCTTATACGTAATGGTTTCTTTACTTAGGTCCCCAAAGCCTTCCCTTCCGTACTGGTTGCAGAAGGCCACGAGAGTTGGAAGAAGAAGAAGATGATGAATACGACTCCGAAATGGATGATTTTATTGAAGATGAAGGAGAACCTCAGGAAGAAATATCTAAGCACATTCGGGAAATCTTTGGCTATGACCGAAAAAAGTAAGGCTGAAGATTTAGCTAAATAGCTTCTATGTTATGTTGTTGTTTGGGGTTTGTTTTGGTTTTGGTTTTGTTTGAGACAGGGTCTCCTGTAGCCCCCAGCTGGCCTGGAACTCACTATGTAGACCAGGCTGGCCTTGATCTCACAGAGATCCACCTGCCTCTGTCTCAGGGAGTACTACATTTTATTTTGAATAGCTCATGTTATAGAAGAAAAACAGCAGTAGAGGCACTGAATATAACACTTACTTAGAAACCTTGTGTGGTAGATTAGTTTTAGGCATATACTATCTTCTGTTAAATTTAGAATAGTTTGTGAGTTCATAGTGTGCATGTATACAAGGTTTCAGGAGAGTGGACCTTCCTGTAGTAGAAATAAATACTGTTGGAAAGCTGACTTAGACCTACCATGAAAGTTGTTCTGATCTGACACCTGCTTTTCTTGGGTGTAATGTTTGCTACCCAAGAGTGTGGACCCTGGACAGCAGCGTGGGGCCACCACCATCATTTATGTGCTCAAGACCTTGTTAAAGCTGCAGGTCCTGGGCCCGGCGTGGTGGCACACGCCTTTTGTCCCAGCACTTGGGAGGCAAAGGCAGGTGGATTTCTGTGAGTTCAAGGCCAGCCTGGTCTACATAGTGAGTTCTAGGCCAGCTGGGGCTACAGGGAAACCCTGTTTCAAAAAGACCAAAAAAAAACCTGCAGGTCCTCAGGCCCCACCTTACTCCTCTTTGAAGTCTGTTTCATAAAGTCCCAAGGTAAGAGTGTGTGTTCAAAAGTTTGGTTTCTAAAGGAAAGGTCAGGTTAACGTTTCTTAAGCTAGGTAAACTTAAGAAATCATTTTTTAAATAACACTTTGGAAAGTTAAGTGGGGTAGCATATGTGTAAGATAAATTAGACTTAAATAGCTCCAACAGGTCGGCAGTTGCTGCTCCTTAGAAGCCATAGGTAAGATAGGCCATATGAGGAAATGGTTATTGAAATCTAAATGAAGACATTTAGTAGAATGGAAGGAAAAACGAAATTAAAAGTCAGATCTGCAGCTCTCACCTGCCCCAGCTGGGAGCAGTGGCCTGTAGTCAGCTGCTCAGGAGGCTCTGAGGTAGGAGAGTGATTGGATTTTAACAACAATTAAATAAATGTAACTGAGGGATGTAGGGAATTCTTGTTGGATTTGGTGCCTTTGTTAACATTGGGTTCAGGAAGAGTTACCTTGTAATGTTATAAGTCTCTTTACTACAAAATCCCACTTATACCCTCACTCTCACCAAGCAAGGAAGAAGGAAGAGCCATCCCAAAGTGTTTCCTCGTAAAGATGCTGCTCTTTGCGGGGGGAGGGGAGGGTTAATGAGAAGATACGGATCTTTTAGAAAATTGAAGTTTTTTACTACTTTGATTTCTTACCAGATATAAAGATGAAAGTGACTATGCCTTACGTTACATGGAGAGTAGTTGGAAGGAACAGCAGAAGGAAGAGGCGAAGAGGTAAGCACAGAGCTTGACAGCCAGGCATAGAAGTGTCCTAAAAATTCCTTCTTCCAGGGCTGGAGAGATGGCTCAGCGGTTAAGAGCACTGACTGCTCTTGCAGAGGACCCGGGTTCGATTCCCAGCACCCATATGGCAGCTGTGAATTGTCCTTAACTCCAGTTCCAGGGGAATCCGAAGCCCTCTTCTGACCTCCACGACACAGGTGCACTCACATACATGCAGGCGATGCACTCATACACATAAAATAAAATAATAACAAATAAAAAGATGCCTTTCTCGTTGCTATAGCTGCAGGGTTTGGAACGTGGGGCTTTGGGGCACAGTTCCTGGGATTGTGGTGCTGGTCAGCTGTGAGAGCCTTAGACAGTTCTCGCCTTTCTAAACATTCTCATCTGTAAAATGACACTACACTGCTTTACTCATTGAAGCATTGTGGGGATCGAGAGTCTGTCTCCAAGGTGCTTCTGGTGTCTCACATGTGTGATGCACAGTAAAATTAGAGGCTTCCCTAGATCCTGTAATGGTGTGTGTGTGTGTGTTTTCCTTTGCCCCTGAGACTCATCTCAGTCTTGGAACCTGTAACTTTGTTGGCCTCAGGGACCCAGTGGAAGGATATTTGACTCCCTCCACCTAGTTCTTGTTTGACTGTCCAGTAGTGAATTTAGGAGACTTTCTGGGGTAGAGGTAAAACAGGATTACTTTGTGGCCTGGCACTTGCTATGTAGAACAGGCTGGCCTCAGACTCACAGAGATCACTTGCTGCTGCCTTCTGTGTGCCTGGCACACACACACACAATTTTAAAAAAGAAAAGCTTTTGAGATAAACATGTATTACTGTAAATGGGAATATATTAAGGCATTTAATTTTTTTCTGATTTGGGTCTGTGACCCATTTTAAAGTGTGTGTGTGTGTGTGTCAGAGGCAGAACCTACCAAGCACAGAGGGTCCTTCCAGCCCAAGGTGAGGGGACTAGGGGCATCTCTCAAGGTCTGGGTACCCTGGCCCCTTCAGGGAGGGATGTGGGTGATGAGGGCCCAGCCCAAGACCCGCATCTGGGCACCACAAAAATGTGTGTTGTGTGACACAAGAGGCCTGGGTCATTCTGCGTCAGGAAGTGACCTGAGTTCCTGTTTGGCAGTGGAGGACCTTGGATCCAAGACAGGTGCTGCCCCACCCCATTCCTATAGAGACCAGGCTAGTTGTTCATGGTGTTCATGAGCTTAGATTGGGCTTTAGAATCCTTCTCAACACAGCGTTCCGTGGAGCCCAGCCAAATGATTGGAGTTGGCCCTTGGATCATCTTCAGCTTGCTTTTCCTGCCCTGCCAGGTTCATCTTTAGACCTGTGCTGTGCCCTGTACCCTGGAGAATGAACAGACAGCTGGGGAGAGGGGGAGGGGACTCCATCAGAGCTGCTCTCCATGGCCTTTCACAGTCTGGCAGGGTGTTTGCTTTTGGAGTGTTTCTGCCTGGTCCTACCTGTTTCATGGGTGAGCTACTGGGGTGGACGGTGGACAAGTGGCTCCTTCCTCCTCCCTGTCTCCCACTGTCCCTGTTCCTCTGTGTTGTGTCATGCTGACACTGAGATTTGGTGGGCACAGTTTCTTAAGAGCCCTGCCTGACAGAGGAGACTGGGTGCTCCCTTTAGACATGGGAGATGGGGTCTAGGCTGGCTGGGTTAAAATTGACAGCTAATTACAGCTGCATCTGCAGGTGCCCTGGTAAGGCTTAGATTATGCTTCCTGACTTTTCCTGGGTTTGGGGTGCCCCCTAGGAGAGGACTGTTGGCTGGCGCTGTTCAAAAGCCTTTACTCAGCCTGGGCCTGAGCAAGCTTGTCTGTCTGAACCCCGACTTCTCAGGGATGAACCATGAGAAAGGGCTTAATGCCTGTTTGCCATGAAGCAGGGACCTAGGACCTAATGTGTGCTAAGTGGCGAGTGGGATATTATGGGACCAGGAAGGCCTCACCCAGGCTTGCCAGACCTTTATGGTGACAGAGTCTGTTATAACAAGGCCTGGGGATGTAGCTCAGTTGGTAGAGTGATTCCCTGGGATGCATGAAGCCCTGGGTTCAATCCCCAGCACCACAGAAACTGGATGTGGTGGTGTACATCTGTAATCTCAGCACTCAGGAGGTAGAGGCAAGAGGATCAGAAGTTCAAGATCATCTTGAGCTACTTAGGGAGTTTGAGGCTTGTCTGGGCTCTATGCAACCCTATCTTAAAAAAAAAAAAAAAAGACAAAAAAAAAGAAGTGGTGACTGATTAAGAGTACAGATACTTAAGCCATTGGACCATGAGGAATGGGAAGTAGAAGTCCTACAAAGAATTCTTACTCTTCAGCTGGTCCAGCCTTTCATGTATTTTTATCCATAATGTCTTCATTAAGCTTGAGTATGATAGCTTTCCATTTTTAGCCTTCCTTAGTGGGACCATTTGATCCAGTCCTTTAAAACTAACTCATTTTGAATTGAGTTTCAAACTTTGAAAGTGCAAGGATATAGGGGCTCAGCAATTAAGAGCACTGACTACTCTTGCAGAGGACCCAGATTCGATTCCCAGCACCCACATGGTGGCTACAAACCATCCTTAACTCCAGTCCCAGGAGAATCTGACGCCCTCTTCTGACCTCCACAGCATTGCACGAAATGGGTGCACTCACATACATGCACTCATACACATAAAAATAATAAATTTTTACAAAGAAAGTACAAGGATATAATCTTAAAGGGTATATAACACCTTAACTTTCCATGTAAATCTTTATACACTGGTAGCAGAGAAGCCTATTGACTTCCCCTCCCCCAGCCCACCATTAGTTTACAGGTGGTGTGGTAGTCCATGTGAGAGAATAAGGTTAGAACATTTTTTTGCCATCATGTCTGTGCTTCCCTCATCATCATGGTTTTTCTTTGCTAAATTTTCATTATTCAGACTCTGGAATAATTGAAATCAAGTGCTTGGTTTAGCCAAAAGATTTCTGGTGGCTTGAAGTTTACTGTACTTTGTGATAGGGACAGCTATTTGCACAGAAAGGAGCCATTGTGCTAGACAAAAGAAACTTGGTAGAAGAATCAGGTTGTAATGCCTCATGTCTGAGTGCGTTTCTGTAACAGATGCATGTTTGCATCGCCGTTATGCAAGCCCGCTTGTGTGGCTCATTTTAAAAAAGAACAGGAAAGAAAGATTATAAATCTTTTAAACTTATCTTTGCCTTTTTCCAAATCACGTCTTCCATCTGCTTCTGAATTTCCTGACCATTTGGAAAACTCTCACAAGCCTTTGAAGAAACAGGAGTAAGGCTGGTTACTAGGTAGTGCTTGATTTTTAATGTGTCCTCTCAACTGCTTTGGTTTTTCCAGTTTTAGTTCAATATATGAAATGTGCCTTTTATTGGGTAATGTTAATTCGCGAATGTAGTAATGTTATTTCACAAATGCAATGTTACATGATCATGGGTGTGGCATTCTCTTAAAAGTTATGTGAAAGGAAAGTAGTTTTCATAAAACTCGCGTCTCTGATTGCACAGTCCCACTTGCTAAAACAAAGGGCACTTTGCAGGCTACTTTCAGAACTTGTCTTTGGATTTTCTCTTCTATGAATGCAGTTATGCCATTAGGAGGCAGGGTACCACATGTCGCAGGCAGCCTTACGTGTATGCCATGAGAAAGTTCAAAGACTGGTAACCGAAAGAGCCTATGGGAACTCAAAATTTCATTTTTTAAATGATAATCCCCAAGATTTTCTCCAAGAAATGAATTGTTATTTTGTATTTTGTACCCTAAGAGCAGCTATGAGTACATTTCTGAGATATAGCAGGAGACCAAAACATTTTTGGAAAGAGAATAAATATATGAAGAGAGACTGGTGGTTTTATTTTCAATGTGCGGACTAGACTGTTTATCTTGTGAGTGGATGTGATGAAATGCATATCCAGGTGTTTAGTGTGACTAAGAGTCTAGAGTATAGGTTTCTTCAGAGTTTTTAATCCATGATGTCTTTTACACTATGGACAAATCAAGTTTAAAGAAAGAAAACTTTGACCTAGCTTAGCTTGTTTTCTGGTGCTGTTGACCTGCAGGAGAATATAGTTTTACATACATATATACATATATATATATACACACACAGGTGAATGTTTTACAATTTATGTATACAAGAAATTGTAGGCATTAAAATATTTTATTGATATTTTTACTGGTTTGCATTTATTGGTCTAGACTTGGAGCAGTTCCTTGTCTCATCCATGTGCTCCCTAGAAGCATGTCCTTTGGCTTGCCTGACTCAGATACCGGCTCTGTACCCTCTGCCCCTCACCACTTACACACTTCCATATTAAGCCCCATCACTGATTTCTCTTCCTCTGCCAGCTTAGAGTACCATTGTGTTTTCAGGCACAAAGTTAGGGAAACAAAGTGATTGGAATTCCTGAGTTCAGGGCTGGCTGGTCTTCATAGTGTGTTCCAGGCCACCTGAGCTAAACAGTGAGCCAGCCCTTACCTGAAAACAACAAAGAAGCCAGGCGTGGCACATGCCTTTAATCCCAGCACTTAGGAGGCAGAGGCAGGCAGATCTCTGAGTTCGAGGCCAGCCTGGTCTACGTTGTGAGTTCCTGGCCAGCCTGGGGCTACAGGGAGACCTTGCCTCAAAAAGACCAAAAGAAAAAAAAATTAAAAAAAAAAAACTTTGTGGTTCAGAGTTTTTAAGGTTTATTCAAATTAAAGAGAAACAGCAGAGCTGAGTGTATCGTTCCTCTTGCCAAAAATCAGGTTTCAGTCTCATACTTTTAAAAAAGACCTTGAGCTAGAGAGATGGCTCAGCACAATTGTGAGCTAGAGAGATGGGTCAGTACAATTGTGAGGACTGGAGTGACGTGTGCACCCACATAATGGAGACAAGTGTCCCACACATGATTGTAACCCCAGCTCCAGGGGATGCAGAAACGGAAATGCTGTAGATAAGGACACCCAAAGCCATCTTCCCGCCTGTGCCTCACATACGTGTTCCGGCACCCACATGGGCACTTATTTTTACTTAAGAGCTTGAGATGATGAAAAGATGAGTCCTTAGGGATACAGATGGGTCTGAGGGCACACACTGCCAGTAATGCAGATACTTGATTCACTGGGATGCCCTGAGTCCAGATCATGTAAAAAATAAGAGGTGCTATTATTGTCCTAGATTCACAAATTGCTGAGTTCATGAATTTTTAATTCATTGTCCTTTTCATAGAGAGGGTAATCTTAGGGTCTAGGGAGATGGCTCAGTGGGTAAAACGCTGTGCAAGCATGAAGACCTGAGTTCAGAGCTGCAGCACCCGTGTAGCCGGGCATGGTCGTGCACATCCTTAACTCCAGCTCTCAGTAGTACAGAGACAGGTGGACCCCCAGCCAGCCAGTCTCATCAAAATGGCAAACTCTAAGTTCAGTGGGAGACTATCTCAAAAAATAAGGTACAGAATGATAGACACCAGACACTGAGATTTGGCTTCCACACAGGTGAGCACACCCACACGTGCACAAAAATACAGACGCAAGGGTGATCTTTAAGTGCAGAGCCACTTAGGTAAAAATACCAAATAACTCGTGTTTTCTGTATAACCAAAAGTTTTGCTCCATCATTCACCCACAAGTGTTTTCCCTCTCCTGTACCTCTTTCCTCCCTCTCTCCCTGTCTCTCTAAGGTCTTGGGGTTCAGACACCTGTTTTGTTAACTGCATAGGTCTTCAGCTTAGGCTTCTGTCCCTGGTTCATACATTTCAATGCATGGTATTGAGGGCTGTTTTTGTATAGATTTTGTTTATACATAAGCTGTCTTTAAAAGTATCATTGGTCATGGTGGGTGCACACCTTTGATCCCAACACTCCCACTCCAGAGGCAGAGGTGGCAAATTCGTATGAGTTCAAGGGCACTGAACATTATGAGTTCCAGGCCAGTCAGGGCTGCATAGCCAGACATTGTCTCCAAAATAAGACGTGTCACTGGGCAGCTTCACTTTTCAGACAAGGGGATACTTAGCTTGTTTGACTTGCCTAGGCATAAGTGTGCATCTGGAAAGCCTGGGTCTAAATCTCTACTGAGGTCCAGGTCTGTGTGTTGGCAAGATAGCTGAGCCCCACTGTCTCCTTTTGGTCATTTTGTGAAGTGCGACTGATACTCAGCTTCAGAAGGTTGAGGTGAAGATTGAAATAGCACCTTAGTAGCTCTCAGTATTTAAATGAGCTCCCTTATTGTTTGCGTGGTTGTAATAGCTACTCGAAGGCCATGGAGAGAGCAGGCCGTAGAGAGTGCTGGTTTAAAGTTAAGACTTCCAAGTCTTTTATGTAACTTTTTTCACTTCTGGACCCTAGACTCGGTGTATTATGTGGGAAATAGGTCTAAAAAGCACTACTGAAGATCACAGAATAGAGGGCAAATTAAACTGGTATGGTTAGCCTTAAGTGCCAGCCTTAGAGACAGCAACAAAAAGAACCCAATCACCTCCCATCCGGCCCAACTGCCACCCTACCCTCCATCTCCGGTATGAGAACTTCGTCTTTGTTCATGTTAAAAGGTTCAGTAACCACACGGAATATGACAAAATGATGTGCAATTACTTTATGTGAAACCAACTAACAGGAACTTGGGTTTGGTGGTCTTCACAGCTGCATCACTTCACCAGGATCATCTTTGCTCACTTCCAAGGGGGTCTGCAGGGGGGAAAAAGCATATAGCAGGTGGGTCTACAGTTACTAGGGTATTATGGGGCTATGGCGAGTTGCCAAGGCCTGGGAGGGGTGACTGTCCAATGCTGTGTCACCCAAGGCCGCTGATGCTAGCCCAAAAGTGCTCAGCAGTGTAGGTGCTATGGAGGCAGAGTGTAGTCTGCCAACAGAATCCCAAGAGTGAGTTCACTTTGGACTGCGGAAGTGGACTGATCTAGGAAATGTCCTGTCAGCATTATGGAGACCGACTTTGATTCTGGGCTACTCTCTTTACCTCATTTACAAGAATAAGGAAAATGTACGTAAGAGTATATAAGGGCCGGGCGTGGTGGCGCACACCTTTAATCCAGCACTCGGGAGGCAGAGGCAGGCGAATCTTGACATCAAGGCCAGCCTGGTCTACATATCGAGTTCCAGGCCAGCTGGGGCTATAAGGAGAGCCTGTCTCAGAAAAAAGACAAGATGCTTTCTTTCATAGCCTAGATTGGCCTTGAACAACTCTCATGAACTCACAGAGATCTGCCTGCTTCTACCTCCCAAGTGCAGGAATTAAAGGTGTGTGCCGCCATGCCCAGCAAAAGCATTATGTCTTTAAAAAAGCAGGGGTGATGGCTCAGGCAGTAAAGTGCTTGCACACAAACATGAAGACCTGAGTTTGGATTTTTTTAAAAAAAAAAAAAAAAAAGCTGGGTGTAGTGGCACAGACTTTACTCCCAGCGTGCATGTGGGCAAAGGTATGGGTGGATCTCTGTGAGTTCCAGCCAGGACTACAATGAGGAGACCTTGTCCCCAAAACAAAGAAAATTGGAACTCTCCCAGTTCTAAGTAGAGTGTGAATAACAGTAAAAGTAGATAAACTATAATAAGCTTTTATAAAATACAAGTATGTTTCTAAAGTTACTGGAGTTGGGTTTTCATGCTTCCTTTGTTAATTTAGGGAACACACAGTACAGAGGTCAAAGGTACACTTACCCCTCCTGGGGGATATTTATATCCCTTCCACATTGTCCCTGCAATGAGAATCATCCATAAGACAACGATCATGGTGGGGCTGCTCAGCTGGTGCAGGGGCACTGGGTGTTTCTGGAAGGCCTGGTGTTCTATTCACTGAGTCCTGGGAGCTGGCCTGGCTTCATTCCAGACTGGATGATGGGTGCCCCAACATGACAGCTCCTGACTGGTGAACTCTGTGGTCTAGTCTAAACTCAAATGGCAATTTTGAGAGGCAAAGCTCGGACACCAATTGTGACATCAGTCCCTGTGACACTGGATGTCAGGAGTGACCAGTGATGGGTTGGTTGGCCAGAGTTACAGTGTTTTGTTATGAGAGAAACCTATCCAAAGGGACCTGTTGTCTGATGACTGTTGCAAACCTAGGAAGAATCACATCCTTAATAACTCACATGGGAAAATGTTGATTGGCTTAGGTTGGATGTGGTGGTGCATGACTTTAATCCCAGGACTAGGGAGGCAGGGGCAAGCCTGGTCTACACAAGAGTTTCAGGCCCATCAGGGCTACATAGTGACACTTTGTCTAAAGAAAAAAGAGCTGCTATGCTTGACATAAATTAAAACCTCTTGGATTTATTGGATGGAATTAACTGGCTGGGTGGATTTCTAATAGCTGTTTAAAAAGAAGAAAAGTCGGGCACACACCTTTAATCCCAGTACTTGGGGGGCAGAGGCAGATGGATCTCTGTGAGTTCAAGGCCAGCCTGGTCTACGTAGTGAGTTTCAGGCCAGCTGGGGCTACAGGGAGAGAGACCCTGTCTCAAAAAGACCCAAAAAAGGGGGGGGCTCCTGCAACCTCTACAGGAAGGAAAAGAAAACCTGGATTGCTTATTGTGCTCATTTCACAGCTAGAGAAACCAAGGCACTGAAGAATTTCAGGGCTGGGTCACGATCACATTCTCTAGCAGTGACTTGGCTAGACAGGTGTCAGCTCTTCCAGCACATCCACACACAAAGTCTGACAACTTTGGACCAGTGCTCACAGAGATCCCGGAGCACTTGGAGAACTGAAGCCCAACCATCACTGCTCCTAATATACAGAGGACTGGAGGGGCCACAAGCCCTTTGCCTTCAGGAGTAGCATCCCCCAGTCCTCCTGCTCTTGTAAGCAATATAGGACTACCAAGGGTTAATTTTCTCTAACAGTGGAACTGTTCTGAAAAACGAAAACAGATCCGAATGAAATGAATGGGCGTCCAGAAGCCCAGGAGAGGACTTGCTGACACAGAAGCTGTGTTCGGGGTTTCTGGTGGGCACTTTGGCCCAGTGGGAGGAGTGTGACAGCTCAGAGGTCTGTGTTTGCATCCTGCCCTCATCAATGAGTGGGTTGTGTGGCATTGGCTAGACTTGAGGGCACTGTTACCGGTACATCTTTGTTGATAGGTTCATAATTTTGCTTAGTTATATTTGTATTTACTATATACTAATTTTCAAGCTTTGCATTAAATACCTTGCATGAATCCTCAAATGTAATATTCACAAAATTAGTAAGATACTGAGATATCTCCCACTGTGCAGATAAAGAAAGAGGTTCAGTGGATTTAAATGTTTCCCAAGTTACATAGTAGGTTGCAAAGTTAGGAGGTGAACTCAAGTTTATGTTAACTAGTTTCACGGTCTTCCAAAAGTACCACTAAGAGTGTTAGTCTAAGGGAACTAGAAAAATGACTCAGCAGTTCAGAGCATTGGCTGCTCTTGAAGAGGCCCTGGGTTTGCATCACAGCACTCACATGGCTAACAACCGTCTGTAACTCCAGTTCCAGGGGATCCAACACCCTCTTCAGACCTTGAACATTGCATGACACAGGTGCATTACAGACATGTAGATAATACACTTACACACATACAAAATAAAAATAAATATTTTTAAAGTGTTAATCTGAGTCTGCCTGGTGCAGTGGTACATGCCTGTCATCCCAGTACTCAGGAGGTAGAAGCAGGAGGATCATAGCCTAGTCTCCATAGGGAGTTCTGGGCAGCCTGGGCTACAGAGTGAAATGTTAATTCAAAACAAGCAAACAAATTAGATGTGGTGGCACACGCCTTTAATCCCAGCACTGAGGAGGCAGAGGCAGGTGCATCTCTGTGAATTCAAAGCCAGTCTGGTCTGCATATCGAGTTCCAGGCCAGCCAGTGAGACCCTGTCTTTAAAAAAAAAAAAAGAGGAGGACAAGAGAGGGTAATGGAAAAAGGCTAATATGATCAATGTATGTTACATACGTGTATGAACATGTCATGGTAAAACCTATTTTGTATAATTAACATGCTAATAAAAATTTTAGCATTAGTCTTATATAGAGTTTGTGAGAAAATAATAAATGGGAACAGTATTTGAAAAGAAATCTGCAAGACATGGTTACAGGCAGATCTTGGCCTCTGAGTGATAGCCCCCCAGTCCCGAGTCATCCCCCCACCACCCCCGATGTCTGTCTCAAATCATTTCCCTTCCACAGTTTGCTGTTTCCCAAGAGAACCAATCTTTCCCCGAGGGCCCAGAGTGTAGCAGAGTTCTATGGCAATGGGGATTCAGGCCAACAGACCTGACCACACACTCACAGCAGCAACTCCTCCTCCAACGGCTGGCTGGCGCCCTCTTCTTGTCTTGCTCTCCCAAACAGGCCACCTCTCTTTCCACTTTAGAGTTGGAGGCTGAATTAGAAAGAAAATTAGAGGTAGACATGGGCCCATGGTTGATCCCCTCCCCCAGTAAGTGCCTCTGTGTGGTGACTGGAGAGGCTGCTCAAAGGTCCTCCCCATCCCAGTGTCCCTCATAGAAAAAGTGGGGGAGGGAATCTTAAAGAATTGAAAGAAGGATATCCCAATGGGGAGGGAAGAAATCAGCTTCATTTGTATTACATCCTGACTTCCAGTTAATGGTAAAAACCTCAACCATCTTGCCTGCTTGGTCAGATGGGGGCACGAGGCCAGAATTGCCAGATATACTCAGTCAGAGCTTACCATTGCCTCTGGAAATGTGCCCATGTAGCATGCAAGTCCAACAAAGAGCATCCAGCCCAGCACAATCATCACCTAAGGAAAATAATTTCTGAGATAGAATCACACAGCGAGAGACCGTTCACCCAAATCTTGGCAAAGGAGCGTGCTCATGAAACCTTCAGTTGATAGAGGAGTCGCATGCCAGTTCCATGCCTTGATTCCAAAGGATCCGCAACTCCCTAATGGAGAAGTTGGAGTCTGGGAGGGCATTATGACATCATTGGCCATGCATCTCAGATTCAAACTACATCATAGATACTGTCCCCAGATGCTACCTGAATACAGTAAGTTCTTTGTATACATTACCACACAGCAATACCATGAGGTAGTTACTGTTATTATAGCCCCATTTTACTAGTGAGAAAGCCAAGGTGTAGGGGCTGGAGAGATGGCTCAACAGTTAAGAGCACTGGCTGCTCTTGCAGAGGACCTGCATTCAATTCCCAGCACCCACGTGGAGGCTAATAACTGTCTGTAACTCCATTTCAAGGGGAATCCAACACCCTCTTCTGACCTCTGGCATTGCATGACTCAGGTGCACTTACACACATGCAGGCGATACACTCATACACATAAAATAAAAATAAGATATTTTAAAATATAAATAATAATATTGTTTAAAATAAAAATCTTTTAAAATAAAAATTAAATAATAAAATTATTTATTATTTCTATTTTATGTTTGAGTGTATTGCCTGCATATGTGTTAAGTGCATCCGGGTTGTGCGATGCCTGTGGGGGTCAGAGGAAGGCATTGGATCCCCTGGAACTGGAGTTACTGGTGGTTGTTAGCTGCTGTGTGAGTGCTGGGAATTGAAGCCAGGTCCTCTGCAAGAGCAGTCAGTGCTCTTAATGGCTGAGCCATCTCTCCAGCTCCTAATTTTTTTTTAATATTTCATTTATTTTATGTGTATGAGTGTATTGCCTGCATGTATGTAAGTGCACCTGTGTTGTGCAATGCCCACAGAGATCAGAAGAGGGTGTCAGATCCCCTGGGACTGGAGTTAGACAGTTGTTAGGTGCCATGGGCATGCTGGGAATCAAACCTGGGTCCTCTGCAAGAGCAGCCAATGCTCTTAACCACTGAGCCATCTCTCCAGCCCCATAAATAAAATATTTTAAAGAAAGCTTAAGTGACTTGCACCAGGGTACATCAGTGATGTGAGATAGGGTAGAGACAGGACCTAGCTGCTTGCTGGGAAGCTGAGTTCTTAAGGTTAGAGACAAAGATTGGAAAGGTGTCACTATGTCTATGACAGCTGTCAATGAAACAGACTCCTAGGAAAATGATACATTAAGATGGGTGTGGTGGTACACGCCTTTAGTCCCAGCCTCAGGAGGCAAAGGCCAGATCTCTGAGTTCAAGGCCAGCCTGGTCTACATAGTGGGTTCCAGGCCAGCTGGGGCTACAGGGAGACCCTGTCTCAAAAAAACCCAAAAATGCACATATACACACATGCACACACAAAATAAACCCTTTAAAAGGAAATTAAGAAAGAAAGGAAGGAAGAAGGAAAGAAAGAAGGAAGGAAGGAAGGAAGGAAGGAAGGAAGGAAGAAAGAGAAAGAAAGAAAGGAGAGAAAGAAAAGAAAAGAAAGAAAGAAAGAAAGAAAGAAAGAAAGAAAGAAAGAAAGAAAGAAAGAAAGAAAGAAAAATGATACATTAATTCTTTCTTTTTTGAGACAAGACCAAATGTAGCCCAGGCTGGCCTCAGACTTGCTGTATAGCCAAGGATGTCCTTGAACTCTTAATTGCCTGCTTTCACCTACATCTATTTTTATCTCTACAACACCTCCCCTCCTATCTTCCTCAGCACCATTTGATACCTACGTTCTTCAACATCTGTGGTCAGTTCCTACTCAGTGGCCATTCTTTTCTAGGTCATCAAAAAACCACAGGTAACCCTGTTCTTTCAAAGAGGAAGAAACAAAAAGAGCCTCCTGTTGGGGCTGTGGCTTCTCTTCCTAACTGTCCTGTGAATTATTTTCCTTTTATGACCAGCTTCCTTATGTGGGTGCTAATCTGTCTATGTGTTGCATTCTGATTTCTAGCCCCTAGGTGGTCTTAGGGGTACTTAGATTGTGTCTCAGAAGTCACTGGAGATCTCCTTTTTTGTCAAGTGTAGCAGCACATTTTGTTCCCTTTGACCTGATTTTCCATGCACTAAGCAGGTAGATCCCACCCTCCACCAGAGTCCTCCCTACATATACAACTCATCATCATTGTTATCATTATTGTTGTTGTTGTTGTTGTTGTTATTGGGCAAGGTTCTCATGTAGTCCAGGGGAGTCATGAACTTACTATGCATTGAACAATCATCCTCAACTTCTGATCTTCCTGCCTTTACCTCCCAAGTGGTGGAATTGCATGCGTGTGCCACCATGCCTAGCTATCCCAATATATTACATCTACTGCCATTATATTAATTATCTTAATTATGAAAACAATAAATGTTCATTGTAAACATGAAACTACCCAAATATACATACAGAAAACTTTGATATGCCATGCATGGTGGTGCACACCTTTAGTCCTAGCAGAGGCAGGTGGATCACTGTGAGCTCAAGGCCAGCCTGGTCTACATAGTGAGTTTCAGACCAGTGGGGTTATAGGGAGACCCTGTCTAAGGAAGGAAGGATGGAAGGAAAAAGGAAGGAAGGAAGGAAGGAAGGAAGGAAGGAAGGAAGGAAGGAAGGAAGGAAGGAAAAAGAAAGATCTAACACTTCCTCCTCCTTGTCCCTTCAGTTCCCACCCCCATACTGTAACCAGTGTCTTCAGCCTGGTGTGCACCCTGCCAAAGATTCCTCAGTAACTGCGAAACACCAGCATAAATACGTTTTTTTTTTCCTATGTGGTTTTACTAAAGACGACCATCTGGCATATGCTACTGTACAACTTGCTTTTCCCTTGCAATAATACATCATGAACATCTGAGTCATTCAATTAAAAAAAATCTACAAAAATCAGATGTGGTAACACACACCTGTAATTCAGCACTGAAGTTGGAGCATTGCTTTGTTTAAGGCCAGCCAGAACTACTTAGCAAATAACAGCCTAGCTAGAGCTTTATAGCAAGACCCTGTCACAACAAAACAGAACAAAAATCCTGTACACTCTTTTTTTTCTTTTTGGTCTTTTTGAGACAGGGTCTCCCTGTAGCCCCAGCTGTCCTGGAGCTCGCTATGTAGACCAGGCTGGCCTTGAACTCACAGAGATCCACCTGCCTCTGCCTCCCAAGTGCTGGGATTAAAGACCTCTTTTTTTTTTTTTTTTGCTTTTAATGATAAGTCTTATCGTTCATTGTAAACATGAACCTATCCAAAGATGTATAAAGAAAACCTTAATATGCCATGCGTGACGGTACACACCTTTAGTCCTAGCACTCAGGGGGTAGAGGTGTAATTTACATATGATACAATTTAATCATTTTTAGTGTGGAAAAAACTGATGAGTTTTGAAATCATATATCATCCATCTTGTACATACTACCACAATCGTGATGGAAAGGCTTTTGATCTCCTCTAAGGAGCCTAGGGCTTCCTCACAGTCAGCCCTATGCACCTCAGCCCCTTGCTTCCCAGAGGCCACTTTTGTATTTTCTAGAGCTTTGTGAAAATGGGCCATAAGTTTCTTTCACTTAGTATGATGCCCTCGGAGAGCCATCTGTGTTATACATATGTTCTGTTTCATTGAATACTGTTCCATTGTACGGGTATACCACTTTTATCAGTTTACCTGTCGAAGATTATCTACATTGCTTTCAGTTTGGGGCTATGATGAACAGAGCTGTTATAAGTGTGTGAGGTTTGTGTGTGTGTGTGGTGTGCAGTTTCATAGTTCAATGTTGTGTAGATGTTCGTGAAGATCAGAGGTCAACATCAAGCATCATTCTCAGTTGCTGTCCACCTTGTTTTTTCGAGACATTGTCTCTCATTGAGTGCCTAGAACTTTCTGGTTAGTCTAGGCTGACTGGCCAAAGATCCCCAAGGATCCACCTTTTTTCCCCCCTTCTCAGCACTGGGATTACAATTACAGGCCACTAAACCTGACTTTTTAGGTGGCTTCTGGGACCAAACCAGGTCTTAATGCTTATGTGGCAAGCACTTAACTGACTAGGATACCTCCCCAACCCCCTTTCCTGAGTACTTTTATTTCTGTAAGACAGAATCCTAAAAGTAGGGTTATGGGATCAAAACTATGTCAGATTACTTTGTTCAAAGGTTGTAAGCAAAGGATACACAGTTAACGATCCTCGAATTATTTAAGTTGAGGTCCACTGGGTTCCAATGAAGCCATGAGCATTTCAGAAACTGGACACAAACTATGTATACATGGTTATATGTCTTTTCTAGAGCAGGCCTGAAACTTCCAACAGATTTCTTTTTAAATATTTGCAATTTTTCACATTTTATTTTCAATATTTTTTATGTGTATGAGTGTATTGCCTGCTTGTATATAAGTGCACCCGTATCGTGCATTGGCTGAGGAGGTCAGAAGAGGGCGTTGGATACCCTGGAACTGGAGTTAGGGATGGCTTGCTGCTATGTGGGTGCTGGGAATCAAGCCTGGGTCCTCTGCAAGAGCAGCCCGTGCTCTTAACTACTGAGCCATCTTTCCAGTCCCCACATTTTATTCTGAAACAAGTATACCTGTTAAAATTAGTATGCATATTTGATTTCATAGTCTTTTCTCTCCCCAAATCCATCATTAAGACAACTCTTATTCAACAGAATCTTGTAAAGAATAAATAATACAACATCAACAAAAATAAATGCCATAAAATGCACCATCATCAAAATTGAGCTAATCATTCTGTCCAAGTCATGAGGTTTTACAAAGATCAACTAAAATAAAGCTGTAAAACTCTTGCTAATGTACCTCCCACTTGGGAAATCCCACCCCCACCCCCACCCCCACCCCCAGTGTTCACAGTGACTAGACCTGGACAGAACAGATGGTTTGTGTGAAAGGCCTCTTCCTTAAAGTCTCTTTCATAAAAGACGGAAACATCTTGTCTAGACCTAACAGCCCAATACTTTCCCCTAGATTAGTAGATTTATAGCAGGATCTGCTAGATTTCAGAACCTCTGGAAGACCTACTATCTCCAAAGTTTGTCAGGTCTGGGCAGGGGTATACCTACTAGACCTCCTGTCCTTCGACTTCAGGTAATCTTCCTCCTACCTTTTCTTCTAGTCCATGCCATCATCTCTTCACCACACAGCAGTGAGAAATATTATTTTGAAAACATAATCAGAAGGTCTGTGGATATAGTCCAGTGGTAGAGCACTTGCCTACCAGGCACCAAGCCCTGGGATTTAATCTCCAGCACCAGGAAAAAAATGACGAAAACGAAACCCAACAATCAGATCACACCACTCTTCCGTTCACAACCTTCTTCTGGTGGTTTCTCTTTCAGAGTAACAGCCCCAAAATGGAAAAAGCAAGCCCTGACATCAGGAAGCTGGTCTGACACAGCTAGATTCAGTGCTGACAGAGAGTGACCTGGGGCTCAGAGCTAGGTCAGGTCATTCTTCTCTTGGACATAAGCAGTTCCACAGAACACCAAATCAGACAGGACCCCTCAGACACTGCTTGATCATTTTGTCTAAACAGAAGCAAGTACAAGGAACAAAGTGCTTCCTGATAATGCAAGTGACCTGCTGTTTGGCAGTTACAGCTTTGCCGTCGTCTAATAGATGCGGTTCAGTGAGAAAGTAGTCACTGAAACGTCCCTGCTTTCTGACAGTACAAGAGTGAAGCCTTGTTTCCATAAAGCTGCCAAGTGTTCAAATCCTGTAAAAGAATTTGAATACTTCAAACACTGTCTCCCTGAGCTGTCCCCTTGGCTCCCCACAGAACTTGCTTCCTCACAGTAAGGAACAATAAACCCAGCTTGTTAAGTACACCTGTGTTCCAGTATCTAGCAGGAAGGCCTTAACAAACCAGAGTCCTGAAAACTGTCTACAAAGCTCCATAGTCCACTGTCTTGAGATATCACCTCAATTAAGACTCACTATAACAGACTGCCTGGTGGCTGGCAGGGGAGCTCAGTGACACAGCTGGTTTCTATCCTCAACTCCAAGCAAACAAGCAAGCAGATTGTTTAGGCCTATCCCCAGAGTTTCTGATTAAATACGTCTTTATGTCGAATATGAATTAGTTCAATTTAGTCATTTGGCAATTTAAAAGTACTCAAAAAATCATGCTGTATACAACATATAAAATTTTTGCATCAGTAAATAAAAGTCTTCAAAAGGAATATACATTTATTCTTTAAACAATTTTAATTCTGTGTGTGTGCGTGTGTGTGCATGTGAGTGCAGATGTTCATGGAGACCAGAGGTTTTCAGATCCCCTGGAGTTTTAGACACAGACATAGGTGAACAGGGGTCCTTTGCAAGAGTGGAACCTGCTCTTTACCCCTGAGCCCTGTCTCTAGCTCCAGGAATTTATGTTTCTATGAATGCACTATGCCAGAAATAGAGGTGGATTTTACCAGCTATGAAGCCTGAGCAGCCCCCGCCCCAGCCCCTCCATCCCCAGGGACCTCCTCTCAGGTGCAGCAGGGATCTCCACTTGCACTGCAGAAAAGAACCTCAGGAGTCAGAATGAAAAAAAAAATAAAGTTTATTAAAGCAAAAACAAACTAATAAAAAACCAAACCACACATTTGCAGTTATGTCGTTGAATGAAAATAATCCGTAAGATCAAGTTTTAAAATTTATCTCTTCATAGGAAGAATTCTTCCTCTGATATTATAAGGTGATTTATGAAGAGTGCTGTGTAGGAATGGATCGAAAGAATGAAAGCCATTTTGCTCTGCACAGGTCACACAGGGAGGATGGCATGTTTTGACCCTAAGCACGGCTCACGAGCCCTTTCAATAATCTTGTTTGTGATACTTGTCCAGTTTCTGTGCGGTTGACTTTTGGGAATTCTTGACTTTTAGCAGATGCAGACCAGATGCAGATGTGTGCGGGGCTTTCTTCGCTTCCCAAGTCGGCTTGGCCTTTGGTCCTTCTATCCTCCGACCTCTCCGCTGTCTGACCACGCCCCTCCGGACTGCTTCTACTCCCAGCAACTTTGCTTGGGAACATCCACACCCTCTTCCTCCACCCCAGCTAGAACTTTTGGTCTGACAGAAGTCAAGCCTTTCCAGGACCTCGCGGATGGCTTCTGCCTCGCTTGCATTTTGCACTGGGGTCCTCCCACTTCCCAGACGTGCGGAGTCGTACGTCACCCACCTACCCCAGGTCGTGAGGCCCCTGGCCAGGAGAGGGCGAGGCCAGGTTCCGCGGAGTCTCGTCCTCTGTGGACTTTTGGTCCTTCGCGGCCGCCGTCTGGAGCAGGTGTAAAGGAAGTCTGCGGGGCTGCCGGGAAGGAACGCGGCTCGGAGACCCGCTGGACATGGAATTCGACTGTGAGGGTGTGAGGCGGCTGCTGGGCAAGGTGTGAGCCGGCGGGGACCAGGGGGCCGGGGGCCAACGGGGCTGCTGGGCCGGGGGCGGCGGCCTACTCTGCCCGGACCTCTAACTCGCGGCGGTGCTCCTGCCTCGGCCTCCCCGTTGCTGGGGTCACAGGCCGGCGTCGCGGTCCCCCGCGTACTCGGAGCCACTCCCCGCAGCGTCTCCACCCGCCGGGGTCTCCCGGGTTATCCGAGTGGGCGAGATTCTCCACTGTTTCCTCGGTGAGCCCTCGGGGTTTAGTCCCTTCACCGAGCACTGAGGTGCTGGCCGTGGAGGCCCTCACTGGACATAGGAATAGAACTAGAGCCCCGTGGTAAAGAGGTGCAGCTTAGGACCCGAGGTCTTCGCTGCATTCCTGCGTATCGGAGGCTCATCCGGCCTCCCGGATTCCCACGGTTCCCACGGTTCCCATGTGTGCAGTCGGGAGCCGGCCTGTGCAGTCTGCTTGCTGCTTGGGAAGCGTGGTCGGTGCTGTTTTTGCTGGACCTGAGTGTCTCTCTTTGCTGGAACCGGCTTTACACCTGTAGGAGGTTTAAAAGCCCAAAGATTGAAACTGTGTTATGTAGTCAATTTGAATGATTCAGGTTACAGTTCAGACAGGTGTAGATTGAGTGATTGAGAGTCTTGCTATGTAGCCAAGGCTGCCCTTTCACTCAAGGCAGTACTCCTTCCTCAGCCCCTGAATGCTGGCTGGGATTACAGGCATGAGACAAACGTGGCTTGTAGGAGAAGTATTACCATGTTTTCTGTCTCCTTTTCAGAGAACATGAAATTAAAGAGCCTGGTAGCTGGGCAGGGTGGTACAAATCTTTAACCTACCACCCAGGAGGCAGAGACAGGCGAACTCTGTTGAGTTTGAGACCAGCCTGGTCTACATAGTGAGTTCCAGGCCAGCTAAGGCTACATAGACCTTGTCTCTTTCAAAAAACCCAACCAAACCGAAGAGCCAGTCTTTCGTGTTTTAATCTGTGGAGCACAGTGGATTGTCCAGTGTAAGAATTGTTAAAGTTTTGGTTGAGTAGAATGAAGGAAAAACATGGAAGAGACAGTGGTTTTCTCCAGGTAAAGGAAGGTTTAAGTTTCCTGATCAGTTTGACCCAGGAGTATTTGGGGGGGGGTGCATGTTGGTCTTCAAGTGTGTGCTTTACCACTGAGCTACACCCCCACACCCGTACATGTGCTTAATATCAAACATTTGTATATATTAAATAACTAAAAAGCAAGTCAGTGCAGCTAATATTTCTGAGATTTCTTACCCTCTGTGTAGGTGAATATGTAGTTTAGTATCTAGAAATAATTTTAGAGCATACATTAAAAGCCAATCAACTGTATGGAGAAAAGTAAAAGGAAGTCTAAAGTATCCTAGCATCATGTGAAAGTCTCTCCATATTGATCTACAGAGTCAGTGTAGTTTAAGTGAGGTTTGAGACAGTCTCATTCAGTAGCCCAGGCATCGGTCTTGCTGAAGTTCTCCCTCAGCCTTTCAAGGGCTGGAATTAAATATGAGCCACCATGTCTAAGAGTGAGTGTTATTCTAATAGAAATTCTAAACAAGTTACTTTGAAGATTTTTTTACATTGATTGTACAGTTCACCGGATGGTCAGAAGAGCAAGAATAATCTTGACACAAGAGGCCTAGGTATGTGGACTTGTTCAGCAGATGTCTGTGTACTTAGCATAAGTCAGGATTATCTTAAATTCAGGCTGACTATAGAATTGGCATATTAGCTGGGTATGGTGATGCATGCCTTGAATCCCAGCATAGCATTCAGGAGGCAAAGGCAGATGGATCTCTGTGAGTTCAAGGCCAACCTGGTCTACATAGTGAGTTCCAGGTCAGCTGAGGCTACAGGTAGACCCTGTCTCAAAAAGATTTTTTAAAAAAAAATATATTAAGCTCCTAGCCTGCACTACTATCCTCAGGCCTCTTGGGGTAAGTCTATAGCGCAGCTCTCCGCGCCCGCGCGCCGGGACTCCCTAAGCCAGATTCACCCCTCCATCACCCCCCCTCGCCGTTCTATACTCCTAGTTTGAGCCCTGTGCCATTCCTAGTCTTGGGGCCCCAGACACCTGGGGAACCAATACTGCTTCCTGACCCTTCTCACCCAGAGCAAC